ATATTTTATATTAATCATTACTTATATATATTTGAAAGAAAAGATTAAATTTTTAGTACTACTAAATGACAGTTTTAATTTTATCATGAAAATAAAATGAAACTGCGGAATCAACATGGCGTCAAATGTCACGTGATCGAACAGTAATTTGTTTCTTTTTATACCGAGCGATTTGATCGAGTAGAGAAAAAAAAAGGTAACTCTAACGAGATGTTTCAAAATAAAAGAGTACGAAGGAATAAATTACGTGAAAATAAAAAATATTGTTGACGAGCGACCGATGGACGTTTTAACAGGACCGTGAATTATTTAATAGTCCCACGTTGTTGCGCTTAATTTATTAGTCTACCGCCACCGGCCGTGAGGATCCCGAGAAATCGCACCGAGAAGCGCGACGAGCTGTGTAATGATTTATATGCGTCCACCACGACTACTACGATAATATTTTAGTAATTCGAATGCGCGAGAAAAAATCAAGCCTTTCTTTCTCTTTCCGTTCGACCCTTTTCTCTTATTTTTTTCAAAAAGGTCGTAGGTCATAATGTTAGTCAATGCTTTTCTATACATACGATTTCGTATATTGCGAAGTTATGTTCGATAAATGGCGACTAAATTTAATTATCATCGATAAATTTTTATAATTTGGATATTAAAAAGAATATATAAACGACAAATTGTGTAAAATATTGATAATGAAACTTTGAATTTATTATTTTTTTCCTATTACGAGGAAGACAAATGTGTTGTTGATACGTTTGTTTTAACGCGTTTAAAGATGAAGCTAGTATTAGATCGTTCGCCAAATCTAACGGATAAGAAGTCGTTTCGTTCATTCAATGAGAAAATTCTCGACGAACTATGAAATAGAAAATGGTGGCAAAGGAGAGAGGAGGGTGCGGAGAGAAAGAAAATAGGAAGTTGGTTTTACTCGCAGAATAGTAGCCGCCATTTTACGATCCATCAAATTCCAAAGTAAGCAGCAACGGTTGGATGCTTAGCCGTGATATTAGAAGAGCAATTCGGTGTATCGGTGAACGTTTTTCTCTATGCCACCGAGGAGAAGGTAAAGGGCAGAGGGTACCCCATTTCTACGATCCAACGAGGTATGAAATATGAAGGAGTGATATATATAAAATGCTGTCGTTAAATTTCTTTTCGATTTAATAAGATCGATCGAAAATTTATTATTTTATTTTAACGTTATGATAATAAGCTGATCCGATCTCGTTGAATTTTATTATTATTATTATTATTATTATTATTATGTTAATTTTTCTTTTGTTAATAATAATTGTAACAAAGTTATTCTCTTACGAAATATAAGATAACAAAATAAAAAGTAAAGATTCTTATATGTGCCGGTAATTATGATAGTAGGCTAAATG